TTTTTTTTAATGCATGTGACATTTACTCTATAAGTATTTTATTTTATTTTTTTCATTTTAACTTCTCAATATACATTGTAGTTGATTTTCATGACCTTTTACCCATTCCTCTTCCCCCTTCCCTCTCTCCCTCCCCCCTCACATCATATCTGTTCACTTGTCTTAATTCTCTGTGACTATTTTAATTCATGTTTGTTCATAGCTCTTTTACTCAAGAAATGGGACTTATAGCCAATTTATTTTTTAAATTTTTGTATTTATTATTAACATATTCATTCTTACAAGTGGTTGTTTGTCTTTATGCCCTTTACCCAACAAATCATTCCCCAAATCCTCTCCTCCCCTCCCATCTCTAGTGTCCTTAGGTTTGTTCTCTCCTCCGGATAGTTCAGTGTATCATGTGGTCTTTCTTCCTTTTGTCTTTCTGTCTTTCTGTCTTTCTCGGCACCCAGTTAGGGTTAGTATAAGTGAGAACATGAAGTATTTCTCTTTCCTCATCTGGCTTATTTCACTTAACATAATTTTATCCATACTCATCCATGTTGCTGCAAATGGCAGAATTTCATTCATTTTTATGACTGAGTAGTATTTCATTGTGTATATATACCACATTTTCTTTATCTGGACATCTGTCAATGGACATTTAGGTTGATTTCATGTCTTGGCTATTGTAAATAGAGCTGCAATGAACATGGGAGTGCAGGTATCCCTTCAACATGATGATTTACATTCCTTTGGAATGGAAATGCATAGTAGTGGGATTGCTGTCTTTACAAAATTAAAGAGCCATTAAGCAAACATCTATAATTCATCATAAGCAACAACAATAAGCCCCATGGAAGAGGAAGATTCAGGTTTACACAATTGCCACATTACCATATCGAAAATGTCCAGTTTTCAACAAAATATTATGGGGCAGTCAATGAAACAAGAAAATACAGCACAGGAAAAAATAAATTAGCAGAACCTGGCCCCGAGGAAGCCCAGTCATTGGACTTATTAAAAAAAGACTTACGTCAGCTATATTAAATATGCCCATAAAACTAAAGGAACTATGGCATTTCCTACTTCACAATTTTTTTTCTAATTTTTTAAACTTTGATTTTTAGAGCTGTTTTAGATTTACTGGAAAATTGAGCAGATAGTATAGAGTTCCCATATACCCCACACATAGTTTCCTTTATTGTTAACATTTTACATGAGTGTGATACATTTGTTGCAATTAATGAACCAATATTGATACATTATTATTAACTGCAGCCTATATAAACTCCACATGGATGGCAGGGAAAAATAAAACATAATTATTGAGCACCTGTTTTTCCCTACTTATTAAATAAGAAGTGATAAAGAAAGATGTACAGGAAAACCAGAGTGAGACAAAAGCTGAACTAGAAGCCATGGGTGCTCAAGACCATTGGTACTTAAATGTTGCTGTGCATGTGAGACTCCTGGTGACCTTGTCACAGTGTAGATTCTGATTCAACAGGTCTAGGTGCTTGATAATTTTTTTCTGCCTTCTCTGTGGAGCTTACAGTTTTCATGCATTGGTCTTAGTGTTCCAATTTTTGTTTATAGACTCAGTGATTAATTTTCAATGCAAACATCTGATATTTTTACAATGATTTACATGGCTTATGTGAGCACATATTACAGTGCTTTACATATTTGTTTTGTGACTTTCTTTTCTGTCTATAGAATATTCTATTTGACAGAAAAGCTCTTGGGTAATGCTGATCCTGATGGTCCATGAAGCACACTTTAGATAGGCAGGTTCTAGAAGGTACACTTACTATGGAACTAGGACTATATTTCCAGGTAGCAGTGGTAACAAAACAAGGGAGAAAGCATTTCACATTCTCCAACTGAAGACAGCAAGACACCGGCAGTATTTTATTAATTTCTTCATTTGAAATTAAATGCAAACAAATTTGCATGCTGCTGGTATGTTGATAATTGACTTGCTGTTTTTCTCTTTTTTGGCAGATATTTTATCTCTATGGAAACTGGAAATCAAACACATGCTTTAGAATTTCTCCTCCTGGGATTTTCAGCAAAGTTAGAGATTCAGTCCATTCTCTTTGGGCTGTTCCTGTCCATGTTCCTGGTCACTTTCACTGGTAACCTGCTCATCATCCTGGCCATCAGCTCTGACTCCCACCTCCACATACCCATGTACTTCTTCCTCTCCAACCTGTCCTTTGCTGACATCTGTTTCACGTCCACCACCATCCCAAAGATGCTGCTGAACATACAGATACAGAACAAAGTTATCACCTATGCAGGCTGCATCACCCAGATTTTTTTTTTCATTTTGTTTGCATGCCTCGACAATTTACTCCTAACAGTGATGGCCTTTGACCGGTTTGTGGCCATCTGTCACCCTCTGCACTACACGGTCATCATGAACCCCCACCTCTGTGGACTGCTAGCTCTGGGGTCTTGGATCATGAGTGTCCTTGGTTCCCTTCTTGAGACCTTGACTGTGTTAAGGCTGTCCTTCTGCACAAGCATGGAAATCCCACACTTTTTTTGTGACCTTCCCGAAGTCTTGAAGCTTGCCTGTTCTGACACCTTTATCAATAACATAGTGGTATACTTGGTAACTGGACTTCTGGCAGTCATTCCTTTCGTAGGAATACTTTTCTCTTACTATCAAATTGTTTTATCCATCCTGAGAATTGCATCAGCTAGTGGTAAGTGGAAAGCCTTCTCCACCTGTGGGTCGCACCTCTCTGTGGTCTTCTTGTTCTATGGCACAGGTCTTGGGGTTTACCTCAGTTCTGCAGCCACACTGTCCTCTAGTGGAAGTGTGATGTCCTCGGTGATGTACAGCATGGTCACCCCCATGTTGAACCCCTTCATCTACAGTCGGAGGAACAGGGACATGAAGGGGGCCCTGGGGAGATTCCTCAGCAGGGCAGCACCTTTCAGTGATGAGGCTATTGAAGGACTTTCATGAGCTATATGACTCAGAGCATTGGGAAGCATTTTTCATAGATCTTGGATGTACCCAAACACCAGTTAATCCTTTTTTAGTTCTGGAATTACCATATAATATCATGCCTTGATTTTTACAATTTTTGAAGACAGTATATTCATTTGCTAGGTCAGCTGAATCAAATTGTCCCAAATCCGGTGACTTAAGTCACTGTTATTCATTGTCTCATGTGTACGAACACTAGAAGTCTGAAATCAAGGTGTTGGCAGGATTGATTTCTCTTGGAGACTGTGAGGCAGAATCTGCTCATTTCTTACCCCTAGCTTCTGATGGTTGCTGGCAATCGTTGGCATTCCTTAGCATGTAGAAATATCACCTGCATCTGCCTTCATCTTCATATGGCATTTTCTGTGCGTATGTGCCTGTGTCCAAATTTTCCCTTTTAAAATGTAAACCATTCCTATCAGATTAGAAGCCAACTCTACTCCACTATGGGCCTTATCTCAGGTTAACTAATTACATCCACCACAATCCTATTTCCAATTATGAACACATTTTGAGGTTTTGAAGGTTAATACTTAAACATCTGAATTCAGTGGGTGTGGAGGGTGGAGACAGGGACAGCAATTCATCCCATCAGACAGTTTCATCAAGACTAGCTTCAAATGAAGGAACAGCCAGCACGCCAAATTAAGTATTTTTTTTCTGCTTTTGCAAATAAATTTTTATTGAAATGTAACCACTTGTGTACATATTATCTATGGTGAATTTCATGCTAAACCAGCAGATTTGAATAATTATCACAGAGAGTGTATGGCCCGAAAGGTACAAAATTTTTTACTAACTCTCCCTTGACTTTAAAAGATTGCTCACCTCTGAATTAAACTATTGCTATCACTTGAATTCTATACTTAGAATTTGTTCAGAACACCATCAAAATTCCCTAATGATAATGTAAAATTCTTTGCAAACCTCCATTCTTTCTATTAAAGTTTGTGGTTAGAGGGGTTTTATTTCTCTATATGAGATGCTAAGTCAAATAATAAGTGATCCTTTTCCTAGTAATCCAAATAATAATTTTTATGATAATTGAGACCTTGTTTTTATTTTAATCTTCAAATTCTCTCTGCCTAGAAAACTCTCTGATGTAGAATAAAAGTGTGATAAATTCCTGATGAATACATGAATCTAAACTAGTGTAGGCCAATCCTGAATAAACAAATAGAATTAACGAAGTCCTGAAGATAGAAAAACTTTTAGGTACTGTGTCACTAATTAATGCTTAATATATGCTATTAAAAAATACCATAGATTGGGGAGGGTAAACAGCATGAATTTATCTTCTTCTTTTTTTTTTTCCTTTTTGTCTTTTTTACTGACCAGTAACGGGATC